GTTGGGTTCGGAAGACACCTTTTCCTTGGTGTCGTCCATCCCTCTGGCTCTTATCATCCTCTGCCTCCTCATCCCTCAGTGATGTGGGAGTGATATCTTTCTATCTGTTGTTTCATTGGTTAATTAATAAAGAAAACTGCTTGGCCCTGATAGGACACAAAATTAGGTAGGCGGAGCAGACAGAACAGAATGCTGGGAGAAAGAAGCCGAGTCAGGAGTTGCCATGATTCTCCCACTCCAGACAGACACAGGTTAAGATCTTTCCTGGTAAGCCACCTCGTGGGCTACACAGATTATTAGAAATGGGTTAGATCAATAGGTAAGAGCTAGTCAATAAGAGGCTAGAACTAATGGGCCAGGCAGTGTTTAAAAGAATACAGTTTCTGTGTAATTATTTCGGGGCATAAGCTAGCCATGCGGGTGGCGGGGTGCCGGGAACGTAGCCCACCACTCTTATTACAACACCTGAGCCTTAAAGGGATGGTTTGATGAAGATATCCCACTTAGGACCAAGTGCGCCTAAGTCCCTCACTCTCTGAACGGTGTCCGGCTGTGGGTCTCTGCACTAATCTCCATCTACTGCAAGAAGAAGCTTCTCTGATGTGGACTGAGCAAGGCACTGATCCATTGGTACAGCAGTGTGTCCTTAGGAGTCATTTTAGTGCTATGTTCCTTTAGCAGAATAATAGCAGTAAGTTTTCCTCCAGGCCCCATAATCTATCCAACCTCAGTTTCCCTGCCACTTCAGCAGTGTCAAGTATGGCCTGCATCTTATGGATTGCATCAAGGGATTGCAACCCATGCCTAGCCTTGTGTACAAATTTAAAAAAAAAATGGTTATTCCTTTAAAACCATCCTTTAAGCACTTAAAATTTTTAATATTTAAAAATTTTATTTTATGCGTATGAATTTTTTTTTCTGAGTGTATGCACGTGTACCACAAGCTTGCCTATAGAGGTCAAGCAAGGTGTCATATGCCCCTGGAGCTGAAGTCAAACAATTGTGAGCCCCCATGTGGGTGGTCTTCTGTAAGAATAATCAAGTGCTCCTAACTGCTGAGCCATCTCTCCAGCCCCTATCTAGTAATCACTTTTAAACCCTGAATCATATATTAATAGCAACAATAAAAGTAACTAACACAGCTCAGCAATCTTTCTCCCTGCTATAATCCCAAGAGAAACAAAACTTAAGCATACACACACACACACACACACACACCACACACTACCAGCAACAACAACATTGTACACCAGTGTCCATGGCAATATTGTTCATGATAGTTTAAAAGTGAGTTGTGCCAGGCTGGGGACATGGCTCAGTGGTTAAGAACACCAGCTGCTCTTCCAGAGGTCCTGAGTTCAAAGTCTGCCTGGGACACAGGATGGATTCAAGACCAGCTTGAAATAGAAAAAAAAAAAAAGATTTTTTTTTTCAATTTCAATTAGTTCTTTGTTTAGTCTGATTTTTCACAAACAGAAGGAATGTTTTTTTCATGCTGGGGATACAGCTCAGTGGTAGAACACTTGCCTGGTTTATGTGAGACTCTAGGTTCAATCTTCAGTATTGTACAAAAAAAGCAAAGCAAACAACTGGAACAGTTCAAACTGTCATCAACTGATTCAAAGATAATAAACAAAATGTCTTATATTCATGCAACAGACTATTATCCCGACATAAAAGGAATAGGCGAGGAAATACTCTGCAACATGGATACACCTCGGAGGCATTGTGTTAAGTGAAAGAAGCCAATCACAACAGGCTATGTACTGTGATATTCCGTGTGCAAAATGTCCCGAGGAGGAAACGCTTTAGAGCTGGAAGGCACATTGATGGTTGCCTAAGGCTGAAATGTACAATGTCTCTTCACAGGGGATATCTGACAAAAATGTTGTAAAAGTAGACTATGAGTATGTAAAATACTAAATATATGTAAATACATGCAAATATACTAAACCCATTGAATTGCATACTTTAAGTGGGTGGACTTTCTGCTATGTAAATCGTATCTTAATCATGTTTTTAAAAAGACTAAAGAAAGTGAGAAAAAATGGAGGTGGCAAATATAGAGATCTGAGGAATTCCTTGAGCCCTTAAAGATTTACCAGAAAATTATCAGTGTACAGTTATATTATTGTAGCCAAGAAGGAGGTTTCCCAGATGAGGTGCAGGCAAGAAGAGCTCCTGGGGCCACTTCTCTGTATCTCCAAGTGGATGGTCTGCCCAGTTCCCTAACTTTAGCCCCCCACCCCCGTTAGCATCAACCACAGTGCTCGAAACACAAGGGTCTGCAGCTCGCTTAAGTTGTGAACCATTTCTGCCTATTATTTTCTCACCCTTTTCTGTTTGCATGTTTCTAGGCACAGTAGGAATAAGCCTCTAGTCTTTTTATTAAAGAAGTAAAGACCAGTGCCTATGGTGCAGGCTATCCACCAAGCCCCAGGGGAAACAGCAGGGAGGCTCACAGAGGCATTTCTGTAGACAGGGCAGCAATGGACAAATAAACCTTCTACCATAAAAGCCTGAAACTTGCAATGCCCTCCTCAGGCCACGGTCAGGCTCTGATGGACCATGCCAGCAAAGATGACCTGTCATTGCTGTTCCCCTTGAAGAAAATCACACGGGTTTCTCCTCGGAAATTCTCGGCTAATTCCACCTGCATGGAGACCTAAACTCCACCAAGTGTGATTTCTGAGTGTTGGCTGGCAGAGTCTTCATGAAAAGGTAATCACACAGTGTTGCCTGGCCATCGGAGACAGATTCAGAGTCATGGAGAGAGGTCTCCCTGATGCTAATATCCAGGCACACTTGATCCTGCCCCTTGGGAACCTGGCCCCCTCTGTGTATGGCAAGCAGAACCCTCACACTGTATGCAGGTGCAAAGGTCCCTTTAAGAGACATACTCTTCCCACTCCCAAGTTCTCTGTCTCTGTCTCTGTCTCTGTGTGTGTGTGTGTGTGTGTGTGTTCCCTCCCTTCCCCTATCCTCCTCTCTTCTCAATAGACTCACACCCAAACTATGTCTGCATCTGCGTAGCAAATCCTGTCACCCACCGCAGTCCTTTCCCCGCCATGGGAAGGATCCCTCTCACACTGTATCATAGCACTTGACCCTCCAAAGATGGGTGGGGGAAATGCTGTGAGACCACATCATTGAGACCTAAGGGGCTGGAAATTTCTGGCTTCCTCTTGAAATGAGACATTCAAGAGTCATGGAAAAGTACAAGGCAGAGTCACCAGCCGCTGTGGAGAAGGAGCCGAGGGGTTCATCCTGATAGGGGCCCGACTGCTGAGCCGACTTTCTTCCTGCCGGGACTCTGGCTGGGTCCTGGCCTGGTCGCTATTCCTGCTATTTGCTGTTCCCGGGGACATGACAGGAGGAAGGGACTGTGATTGTTTGGCATAGGCCCCTTCTCGTCCTCTGAAAGCGCTGTTTCCGCTCCTCACCTGGGCCTCCCGGTTCTCCCGAGCACTAGTGTGTCCTTTCCCCCATAGTGTCGGGGTCCAACCCCAAGATAAATTGTCTCTCTGGACCAGCATGGAGGCACGGGAATAATTGAGAGACAGTTCACACCGCAATATCGGAAGGGAGTCTCGGGGTTCACCCAAATCCTGAAGATCACCTGTGTTTGTTCTCTAAGCAGCTGTTATCCCCAAAGGTAAACTGAAGGGGGAGTTCATCAGCTTTCTGTTTCTGGGATGGCAGGACTGAGGTCACGTCTGCATCTCTGTCACTAGCTTGGATTAGCACCTCTTCCCAGGCTGTCCCTATAATTACAGAGCAGGAAGCAGGACAACATCAGCGTACCTGACCCAGGCAGCAGCCAGTCTGTAACTGCTGTGTGACCATCTCAGGTGCGGAACTGTGGTTGAGAGCCCGGCCACCATACAGTGCAGAAATACGTGGCCTGGATAACATCGCCCCTCACCTTCGCTTTCCTACCGGCCCAGACTCACTCCTCCTAGCCCGTCGGTCCTCTCTTCTCTGCACATGGCGTCCAGTGCTCTGCCCACTGAGGCTCTTCCACCACACCAGGGCTTGGGCCAACAGGCTTCCCTGGCTCTGTCTTCTGGCTCCAGCTTCTCAGGATAGACTAGCTGCTTGTCACGCCTCAGCTGTGACATTGACCCATCCAGAGGCCGCGAGGCTTACCTCACCTAGACAGAACATACCTGATTGTTCCGTCATGTTCTTGTAGGGTCAGGTTTCGAGGCCCATCTTTGTTCTTATCTTTCCTCTCCTGGGAAGAACATTAGTCAGTATTTCCTCATTCACCCCAGCCTCTCAACATGGAGGCTGAAAGCGAACCTGAGGTCTGAAGACTGCCTGGGCTCTGCTGCTGCTTTGCCATGAGGCGGCAAAGATGTCTTTGTTTCTCTGAGAACCCATTTCCTCCTCAGTCTATTTCCTCATCCACAGCTTTGTCACGGTAAGTGAAATATTGTCACAAAGAACTTACTGCGGAGACTGAAACATTCACCATAAGTTTTCAATATGTGCCCTCCACATTTACTTTAAGGTTTTCATCTATTCGTCCAGGCAGCCAGGCAGCCAGGCAGCCTTCATGGTGTACTTAGTGAGCTTCACGCCAGGTACTGCGCTATGACTATGTCTTCTGAAAGGAAAGCCACTTAGACCCAGGAGGAACAGAGTAGAGACCTGAGGCCTGCCTCCACAGCGCAGCAGAAGCAAACACAGCCTGAGCAGTGGAGGCTGCCCCGGAGATGGCAACAGCGAGTCCATCTTTCCGTGTCTTTAAGTACCCTTAGAGCTCTGGGCTAAGGTGAGCATCACATGACAAGAGAAGTGAGAGGGTCCTGGGGGAAAACCCCCGTTCCTCCCTGCTTCTCGGTTACAGAGGGTGGCCATGCCGTGGCTGTACGGAGGGCGATGTCCTTCAGTGAGTCTGTCTGGGACTGTTCCGGAAGGAGGAAGGGCGGATGGGGTGGAGAGACAGCTGGAATGTTCTGGCCTGCTGTTGAGCGCAGCCAGCCTGGGAGAGAGGAGGGCCTCTGGACATCAAAGGTTCCTTTTGTCCCTTTCCGAGTGGCAGAGCAGCCGGGCCACTGGCTATGACTCAGGCCTGGCCCTGACGTCACCCACGCCCTGCTGCTGGCCTCGGTTTGTAGCCAGGAACCTGACCAGGGAGTGGTTCTCATAGCTGCAGCAAATCTCAAAACCGGGAGGCCACTGCTGTGCTCTCTCTATTTCCCCTCCAGCAACCTTATTTCTTCTACTTCTTCTTTTGTTTTAAGCCTTAAGGAGGGCTTTACTTGTAAATCAGCTTTCCAAGGGTAAGCAGTCAGAATGAGTGACGTCATGAGAAGATTATGTGGCGCAGATCTCAACTGGGAGTTGAGGCATCCAGAGGAAGAATGCGGTGGGGCCTCCTGAGCCCAGGAAGTTGGCTGCGTGTGGGCTTCAGAGCCAGCACCTCTGAGTAAGTGAAGGCCCCTCAGCCCAACATGGTGGGTGCCATCTTGCTCCTAAGAGCCAGGCCTGGCAGGCCCTGGCCCAGAGGAGGGAGTGGGGACGGACATTGGGACACCTTCTAAACATAGCCTCAGAGGGGCCTGCTCTCTCTTCCCCAGGGGCCCAGCAAGAACAGATAAACAAAAGCTGCTCAGGCGAAACCCTGAGGAGAATGTGCTACTGGGTTGGGGATTCTTGTTTGCTCTGCCCACCTGAGCTCTGTTTCAAGAAGGAAACCAAAATATGTATCTGGGGTTCTGAACAGTTTGCTTCCTGTATTGTCTAGGGGGTGATCAGACATAAGACAAGCCCCATCCTAGGCAAGCATATGTTTTGTCAGTCAAAGTATTTTCACACTTGGGCGGGGGGGGGGGGGGGGGATAATGGCAGACCTGTCGGAAAGGGGCCACAGCCAGCCTGCCTGTCTTGGGAGCACCTTCTGTCCTTCTGCGTGTTCTGTGCTTCCTTATCTCCTTGGTGTCCTGTTTACAGTTTCTCATTTCCACTCACGCTGCCATTAAGCAGGGACATGAAGCAGAGGCGAAACACAGTTCATCTGTTTTCGTATCGTCTAAAAACTCCGAGGCCTTTGCATAACCTGTCCTTTATGAGTTCTGGAAGTTTCTACTCAAGAAATTTCAGTTTCTATGGAAAAACATTTTTTTTGCACGGGGCGTGAGAGTCACAGAGCAGACAGGCCTAGAGCTGTATCTCAGTTCCCCTGGCTTCTCGACCCACCTCCCGAGTGATGGGCTCTTTTCTGTAGACCTTCCTCAGCACATTAAGTCTGTTCTTCGCGCTAATGTGGTTGCGTGTATCTTAGAAAATGGCCTTCACTTTAAGGCAGTGCAGAAGTTTGTCGTTTAGCAAGAAACACAAATCCCTGGTGAGCCAGCATCCTACGAGATGAACCGTCACACTTTATGTTTTGAAGGCCTTGTGTTTTACCTTTTAAATATAATTTCACAGATGAGGCTGTCTTGAAGCGAGGCTATGCCAGTCTGCCGCTCCTCTGGCTGGGAGAGCTGAGCGCTGTGTGAGAAATACTTTGGTGAGTGCCATTTGTCCCTGGTGACTCCCTGCTTTTACGTCTCTAGTTCTACTTTTTGGGGGTTTTAGGACAATAAAGAAAAGCGTACAGGGCATAGGTACAGAATGACAACAGCTGTGTCAAAGGGGATATGTGTCACGGTAAGCTAATTGCTACCATAAATATAGATTGGCTTAAACACAATAGGCTTTGCGTTTTGACCATGTCACAGTGCAGGTTGGTTGGGATAACTCTCTTTCAAGCATTCGTTCAGATTCAAGGCTGGGGTAGAGTTCAGTGGGCGTGCCCTAAGTGCCCAAGTCCCTTGGTTTGATGACCAACAAACACTAACAAACGCAAAACATTCCGCGTTTGAAGGAGACTCTGCTGTCAGCAGCAGCTGGTTTTCAGAACCACCAGGGTGTATCTTCGCTCCTCAGTGGAAAGAGCAAAGAACCTAAAAAGCGTACAGGGAGGGTCTTATGGGTTGAGGTGGTCCATATCATCTTTCTTTCCATCCCATTGGCTAAAACCCAGGGACGTGACTGTAGCTAGCTTAGAGCAGCCACTTCCCAGAGACAACCGTGGGGAGGTTCCGGAGAAAGATAATCTCTTCGGCATTGAGTGTAAAAGCTTGGAAATGCTCAAATATAAGGCGTGAGAGTAGAACAGTGCGTGTGTGGTGGGGAGAGGGTTGGTGGTAGTGGATGGTAGATGAGGGGCTGGAGAGAGAGCTCGCTTGGTGCCCTTGCAGAGGACCCAGGTTCAGTTCCCAGCACACATGGGGGCTCATGTCTATCTGGAATTATCTAGTTCCTGAGGATCCAGTGCCTTCTTCTGGCCTCCTTGGGCATCAGACATACACATGGCACACAGCTATACTTCCAGGCAGATAAGTACCAAGTGTACACATATAAAATAAAAATAAATCTTATAAAAGCATATTATAATGCCAAGCATATAGGGTACACACCTGTAAACCCAGGTAGAAGACAGAGACAAGAGGGTTGGTTGCTCGTGAGTTTAAGGCCAACTGGTCTTCATACTGAGCTCCAGGCCAACCAGGGCAACATAGCAAGACCCTATCTCAAAACAACAGCAAAACATTAGGAGATATTTGGAATTCACTATTGGACACTCACAGGTTTTACCTGGCCATGAGGGCAAAGAACAGTGAGAGAAATTTCCCAAGATGCCTCTGTCCATTCTAATCCTAAGATTAAGGTAAACACATTCCTGTTGTCAGTGGCCAATGAAACAGAAAGGGCATCTTCCCCTTATCTTTCCTCCCCCTATTCTCTTGTTTAGGTCTTTTCTGGCTTTGTTCCTTTCGTGTTCTTAAGTCAAGCAAACTAGCTGTCAATGGGATTTTGCTCCCACAGCTATAAGCTTCAGTGACATATAGGAACGTGCCTGGAGCCCTGAGCTATGGTTCTGCCCAGTCCTGGAGAAACTGGAAGACTCTTCTACCCCATCTGTACCAGGGTCTACAGTGCTTTACTAGTGAGAGGGCTCCTCTAAGAAGAGACCTTCAAATAAAACTATTTGAAAAATATTTAATATAGACTATAAAAGACTTGGGCAGGAACATTAATGCTAACCCCACGAAATATAAAAGAGTTATACCCAATGTCTAATTCTGCCTTTTTCTTTTCGGGAAGTCTCATTTACTGAAACAGTGAGCGGAAAATGTATGAGCCCTATTTGGAGAGCCCTGTCTCACTTTATAATTTATGTAGATTTTAAGCCATTGTTGTTTTTGTAGAATTCTCTTCTCACCGGTAAATGTCAGGAAAGGGCTCCAGTAAAGATCTGTTCCGGCTGCATGGTGCATAGTTCTCTAGTTTTGTGGTCAGTATCTGTCTAAGCAAATGAAATGTTGCCACTAGATTTGATATTCCTGGCTCCCACATCCCCACCCTGAAGAGTGAGCATTGTCCATTGTGTGGGAAGATCTGTCCCGGGCCAGTCTGATAGCCTCTTCGATTGTTGTTCGTCCCTTCACATCGGGAGCGGGCTAAATAAATAGCAAGTTGTTTTGTTTCAGTTTTTCAAAAATATTTCCACCTCTGAAGGTGCACTTTCTGGGGTTGTTGAGCACCACGAGTGTCTACTGAGCAGGCTGGGATGATGGAAGAGTCAAAAGTGTGGGAACGCACTGCCCACTGAAAGCCACCACCTGACGGAGTGAGCTGAAGACGCACAAGATCTCAAAAGTTCTTGATGCACAGATACGCTAGCCCCCTTCTTCCTGGTTCAGCATTATGAATGCCCTGCTACCCTTTTTAGAGAGTTTTGCAAGGAGCTCACGTCATATTTACGACAGCTAAGAATTCATAGTAATTGGCCTTTGTCGTTTCTCACACTGAAATCCCCTAGTTCTCGTCAAGAACCAATTTGGAAAACACCACACAAAGGACTCTGGGGTTTTGCTGTTAACACAAGAAGCCTCTGGTTTTTACCAGAACTTTCAAGCTCCTTCTCACCTTCAAAGTAGTGTTTTGTTCTGTTGAGACCGTTAAATTGAGTAAGGTTCCGCGCGGAATGGTTCGGGCAATGAGGACTGTGAAGACTAAGTTAGCGTGCTCGTGACAATTGCCACCACATGGTCGGCGTTGATGTCTTGGCTTTGGAGATTGCTATGAAGTAGTGCTGTTTTGAAACAAGAAAAATTCTCTCTGAATCGCCTGCATCTGTGATCCTTAGAAACATGTCTAAGCAAAATACATAGTAGGTACAAGTACAAAGCCACTTTGCCAGGTGTGAGTGTGGGCCAGCGGCTCAAAAGCGCCAACTTCACGAAAGACTTTGAGAGAAACTGGTTGAGCATCTCTGTGCCTAGAGCTGATTCCTGAAATTCTACTGAGGGTCCCAGCACACGGGAACAAGGCAGGCTTGATGTCTACACTGTGGAAGCAATCTTGGTCATTTTTCTGTGGCTGTGATACAATGTCCTGACAAAAGTCACTTAAGGGCGCATGGCTTTATTTTGCCTCAGCCTGGGATTGTCTACCAGTGTGGTTGGAAAGTCACGGCAGCAAGAGCTCGAAGCCGTCGGACACAGCAATCCACAAACCAGGAGCAGAGAGTAAGGAATGTTCCTCCTCAGCCTGCCTTCTCCATTTCATGAGGTACAGGATCCCCACTCAGGGAATGGTCCTGCCCACAACTGAGATGGGGTTTCCCTCAAGAATTAACCTAACAAGATAAATTCTATCACAGATACTCTCAGAGGCTAACTCTCAAATAGTCGTTTCTCACAGGTATGCCTGGAGCCCTAAGCTATCCTAGAGCCTGGCTGGTTGACAGATGATACTGACCCTCCTAGAGGCACTGATTTGGGGTTGTACTTCCTACGCTACATGAAAGAGGGCAGTCAGTCTGCCTGCTGTGATGGGGGTCACCCTTCTATTCAGAATCTCATAGGCGATCATCCTGCATCACAGGAGGAAGGGAGTAGCCAGTAAAAAAGGCCTTTCTCATTGACTTAAGTCCAAGGCAGCAGCTGTATCAAGGTGCCTTGCAAGGGAGTAGGTTAGGATTCCCCAGGGACAGGCTGCACCCCACCCCCATCTGCAGCTGGGCCACGCTTGGCTGGACTTTCAACTCCATTACAACATTCCTCTTCCTTCTTCCATTCTACAGAAGACAAATTCCTTTTTAGTTTGTAGTTTTAGTTTTGGTTTTTGCTGGGTTTTTTAAATGGTTATTATCTTTGCATTGGCATATTTTAATTTAGCCATTTTTAAATGCCTATTTTGATCGCCTCCGGTGGTCCACTGTTACAAATATATAAACACTCTTGAACGTAAATCCTTGTGGGCAATTTAAGGAAAATCCCCAGAAATTGAAGTGTCAGGTTGAATGATCTGTGTTTAAAGTTACCAGTTGGTCAATGCTGGTCCACAGATCATCAGTGTCTAACTCAGAACCTGGTCCCCTGAGGTTTCTCACATGAAAACGCATGTTCACAAGTCCCTGTGACAACAGAAACTCTGACCGTAGTCCCAGACATGTTAGATTCAGCCATGTCCCTCTATGGAGACTTTGACCGACCCATGTCTAAGAATCACCTGCTATCTTTCAAATATCAAGAATTCTAACACACCTTCCTTATTCTCATATCCACCAAAGCCTGAGAACTACTTACTCGTCTGTCTAGTTTGCTACCTAACCAATTCTAGGCATTTTTACACAGAAAAAAAAAAGTTAGCGGGCCCTGGGCTGGGATACTGTCATAGTCTGTACTGCTATAGCAAAACACCTGGCAAATAAAATCATCACTAAAAAGATATTTAGTTTACAGTTCTGGAGGTTCAAGAACATGGTGCTAGCATCTGCTCTTCCCTGATGAGGGCCCTGGGCAAATGACATCACCGTGCTGGGAGCACCTGCTACACAGAAAGAAGGATTCAGGAGAGGCACCAGGCTTATTTACAGCAACCATTCTCATGGAAACTAATCCCATCTCACAAAACCTACAAAGATCCCTTCAGTGGGCAATGCCCTTATGACCTAATTACCTTCTTCCAAGAGCCTCACTTCTGGATGGTTCCGTTGCCTCAACACCACCACCCTGAGGGCCAAGCCTCCAGCACACACATAAACGCTGGAGGAAAAACTGTACCCAAACCATAGCACATATCCAAACGAGAAACGAAAAGTTCTTTTTGGCTTCTGAGTTTTAGCTGTATCTGGCCCCAAAGATGATTATTAGCTTGGGAACCGGGAAAGCTTATTGTAAACAATGAGAGCAGTGGAGTAAACATAGATCATTTGCCTCCTAATGGTCACCCAGAGATTTATTGGCAGAGGGTGACCTAGACAAGGGATCTAAACATGCCCAACCTTCTGGTAGCGACAAAGGGAACCAACAAGAAGACAACTCCTGAAACAGCTCCCTGCCTCAGTCAAGGAAATTGTGTCTGCTCTCTGATAGGTAGGGTCAAATCTCAGGACTAACACATACAGTTTGGACCTCGGAGGGGCCCAGGTCATTCTCTTGGTCACCTAGTGGTGCC